TAAATTTGTGAAACGGGATATAATAACAATGCTTAGAATGTGACAAAAACAGACAGTCTGAAATGAAAGACAAGCAAGTGTAACCACATTTGTAAGATGTTTGATGAATATACGATATTTATAATTATCTAACTGGTAATTAAGGCATCACTCAGACTAGCAAAAGCAGGTGCTGAATTTTCACTATCTTGCTAACAGATTGGAAGTTTATACTGCGCTTAACACATTTCACTACATGCCTTCTGTTACCTCCTATGTTTCTTTCTTTCTTTCACAAAGTAAAGCGCCTAGACCAATAAGCAGAAATCTAGAACTAGGATCATAATGTTACTGAATTTCCAGAAGGGATACACTCCGAAGTCTCTTTTTGAAGAATTAGAATCAGAAACACCAACAGAGGAACTGAGACTATCCAATGTCATATAAACACTTGAAGATTTAGAACGAGACTTTCTTCGCTGCTGATGTACAAACCACGTTAGAATTTCATGGCTTAAATACACATTTGATTACTGCCTAAATGATGTCAAATATTATTTTACTATCAATATTTTTGAAAATTTGTATTTCCCGATGAATAAGAAACCAAATCATCGTGATTTTAATAACATTTCGTTGTTTAACACTAATAGCATTTATTGAATTGATATTCAAGCAAGACTTACAAAATCACAGCTTATACACACTAACTTAATCACAGTTCTTCTACATGATGTAATTCTGCGTGTCAAATAAATCAATGGATTACTCACTACAAACAACAGATATATGCAGCTTGTTGGATTTGATAAATATGTGAATTAAAAAAACCTGTCATCTCAGTAGGCAATGAAAACTGTCTAGATTCAGGTCAAATTTTTATCATAATCTCTGATTTGTCATTTCAGAGTGTTTCATCTCCTATGAGAAGCTTTCTTTTGTGATTTTTAATACTTTTCTGAATGGTTTCAATATTACCAAAGTCAATTTTATCACCTGACACTATACAATGCATGCCAAACGGTCGAAGATTTTTCAAGTTATATTCGACGTCTTGATAGTGAAATAAAAGCTCTGTGGTGTTTGTTTCTTCTAATCTCGGCGCGCATTCGCAATTTACACTGTTCGAGGTGATTATTTCATCACAGTTTCCCCGCCTTGGAAACTGATATTATTTAGATCTCAATATGTGATCTACTCGTTACCATAGGTGACAACCAAGAAAGTAAACACTATTGGTTAGTGTGAGTGGTGTACAACAACAACAACAACCAGGAGTAAATAGTTTCATGCATTTATGCTTGCCCCATTGATTACCATTTATGGTGTCAAGCAGATCACATGCTGTGGCCTAAATAATTTCAGTTTCTGATGGAAACTGTGATGAAATAATCGCCTCGAATTGCATAAATTGAGAATTAATTTGGTAAATTGCGAATTTGATTTGACGTTCTACCAGTTGGCCTAAGTAGCTAAACAGAAATTCAGTGATTTGAACTGATTCGACTCCCTGAGCCGAATAGTACCATATTCACCGATTATGAGCTTGACGCAAAACGAGCGAAACAGGCGTCAAGTGTTTAAATCACAAGCACTACTGTTCAATGTGGGTGGTACACAACTAGTCATCCCGCTGAATCGGTGGCATGTACTTTAATGCATCCTCTAATCTTGATTTGTCGAGAGAAAAATTCACGAATACAAGAAATTCAGTAAGCACATCCTTGGAAGTATTAGCTTCAAGCTTTATTTTTGTCAAGGAAGACATTTGCTGAATATAAAATTTAACAGTATGATATTCAAACCTTCCTAAGTGTAAATACAATAATTCTGGAGATCTGTTCTGGGAATACTTGGTTTTGTTGAAACTCATCATATTTTGAAAATGCAATAATTGCATATTGTGCAATGTCTTCACCAGAGGGCATCATAACTATATCTTATGACAGAGACATTAATAAAATCTCACGGAGTCTGAAATCAGTGAATGTTGGGTCTCTTTTGGGTAGTGAGAATTAATATACAACATCGCATTTTAAATATGAGACAGCTTACAACATACTCTCTGAATGGAAGAAAAGATAGGTTGAAATACTTATTTTTATTTTTTGATTACAGCTTGATTCCACAGTGTATTTTTAGTACAAGTATGGATATCGATGGCCCAAATTTTGCAAGCCGACCATAGATATCAGGTGTGCGTCGGCAGGGTATCGAACCTCGGACCATGTGCATGGTCGGCGAGAGTCCTAACCACTGTGCCACCGACGCACAAAGTTTCATTACAAAAGAAAGTAATTATTAATTTATCAACTAGATTGAGTTGAAGTGGCCTCACTCGCTACAAGTCAGCTCTCTGACAAATTCAAAAACAAGGTTTAAGGAAAGATTTCATATTACTTCTGATTATTCAATAACTGGCATTTATTTTAGATCTTTGAATTAGCTTCGCACAACAGATCAATATCACCAGTAATTTCAGTATACGTAAACTTCTGATAAAGTGTACATTAAGTGAATTCAGCTTCAGATTTGGTGACATATTAATTCATAAACACTAAATGAAATCTAGCTAAAGCAGTGCAAACAAGTCATACAATTCCATTTCCCTAGAAGTAAATACACCCATTAAAAACATCTGAGAGTTAGCAAGACAAACAATGATAATTAGTATGATGGTCAGTGATTAGGGGCAGGAGAGAAAAGACAGAAAGTTCACAGGACGAGTAATGAACAAAGCTGATTGACTTTAAGATGTTTCACGTTCGATCGGGGGTTGAAATCAGTTAAAAAATCGGTAAAACCAAGTAGTGCTGGATGACTGTTTCGCTCCAGTGCGGGAATTTTCAGAAGTACACACACTCACCCCCACTAAGGGCCTTCAAGTCCTCGTACTCGACCTGATGGACTCCATTAGCCAAGACTTCTGGCTAGGACTTCCAACGACTACGTCTTGCAGTCAGTCATTAGTGAAAATTAGACTCATTTTCAAGTGTTGATATGTAGGGTTTTGATTGCCCTCAAGCTTGATCCCGGATTAGCATCAGATAGACAACCATCGTCATTTCACTAAAAATTATTATTCAAATATCGTTTCTATTTCTAAAATAACTAGTCGCCACATAAATTCTCACGATTAGTCAGCGATATGATGAGCTGAAAAGATACATATATTTGCCCATCAGTCATTCACGCTATTTACTTTCTAACTGATCTAACACTTATTTCCTCGCTCATCTTCATCATAGCAAGAACAAAGTTTGTAGTGTAAAATGTGCAAATAACAAGTAAATTGGAGGGAGAGAAACGTGGGGATCCACTAGCCTCCCTAAGCATATACCAAAAAGCCTGGGAACCAGACCCTTATCAGCGCAACCGGCCTACACTTAATCGCATCGGGAGACAAAGAGAATATTCAAATTGCCCTTAATATTATCAACAAACGACGAAATCCAACTTTACTTAGATTTGCTGAGTCTATTGCCAACAAGCAACTCAAACTAAACTTTTGTACACAGAAAGAAACGGTAAGTAGTCTTCGTTTGCCCCGATAATAAGTCTTCCCACTTACTTCATAATTATGTAATGTGTTCTTGATTTCATAATGCCCCTATTATTATTGTCACCACGATTGTTTTATTTTATTGACCCACTGATCGTAACTCATCTGATTTTGAATTGATTCTGGATGCTTACCGTGTGGTATAACGTAAACATTTCCCCCTGTATGTAGCTGGGAAGTTGTTGGAATAATTTTTGTTAAGCTAATTATCAAAAAACATCGAATATTCATCCAAACTTACGACAAATACATGCTATCTGTTCGTGTTATTTGTAATTGATTACGCTTTTACATGTCACCTATTATTGTCTCCTACGACTACGATCTTCATAAAAATCTTCTGCTGAATTAAACTGAAAAAAACGTTATTATTTCGTTAATCCTATTTATATGTCTGCAGTTGATGAGGAACCCAGAGGTAAAATGTGCACCTTTTGTACTTCAAATTTTGTTTTTTTTAACTTTGACGACATAATACGCCGGGTGGGTTGGTAAAAGAAAATGCACAATGAATGTCTTAATAATCAGACTCAAAAATTCACAACCATATTAGATAATCATAACTACTGAACTTAGATTTTTTTATAATTACGTTATTACATTGCATACAACTAAGTAGCTGAAATCCAATTGACATGTGGAACCTACATAAAGCCAGGTGGTAGTCTACTAGAGGAACACTTCGTTGATATGAATTACAAAACTGATATTAAGATAACTTTCAAGGCCATATATAAAACCGCCAGGAAAGCGCGTACGTAAATGCCCTAAAGCGAAACTAATTCATAACATTAAGCCTCTCACTGTGAACAAAAGCAATTTAATATTACCTTTAACCTACCTTAAGGTAGGTTAAGGGATTATCAATTGATAATTATCAATTAGTGAGATAGGGATTAATCCCTATCTAACTATTCAATATCCAACATCGTTTTTACGAGGTAGTATAAACCAATTCGATTTCTTTGTGCTCGCCTCTTGATTGTGAAGAATAGGTTCCTGGTATTCAGTAATCACAGAGTAGTGTTGATAATTATCTTTCCTATCTTCAGATCCCTCATCATTTCTCTTATATAAATTGGTCTTTCATTTTTAATTTTTAATATTGATTGATTTGACAGGTAAATGTATTATCAGATTGTTCGAAATGTAGTGCACAAAATACATCATATTTTACGGATAAAATCTATCTTTTAGAAGCGCTGTATAAGTCTATTGGCTTTGCCAGAACTTTTTATGCAACCAGAACTTGCACACTTTATTATTATGTGTCATGCCCATTATTCACTCAGTTTTTAACATTTTTATCTGACTGGATAAGCGCACTGCTGCATTATTTTATAATACAGCAACAAAATCAACGCTTTATTCGATCTACTCTAATATCACTGACACCAAAAATGCAAGACAAATTAAAAAATTGGAATAACTGGAAAATTTTGAACTACGACAGACTTACTTGAGAAACAAGACGCAATATCTTATCCATATTTTTTAGCAGCACCAAAACCACCGCGTACTGTTAGACACATCCAATATCCAATATCCAATATCCTGATGACGAGCTAGTATAAACCAGTGATTTCTTTGAGCTCGCTTCTTGATTGTGAGGTAGAGGTTCCAGATCTTCGGTGAGCTTCTGCGTAGTAAGTCCCGACACTCGACTGCTTTAGCTCTGGTAGACTCCAGGAGGAGTGGTGCGGGGATTGGTCGAGATGTGGTTTGTAGTATGCAGTATGTTAGGACTGTATTGCTGCCGTGAATGGAGTTTGACCTAACTCCCCTTGGTCATTCGGTGTAGTCATAAAAGCAGAATAGTAATAATAATAATAATAGGTTGTAGTGTAGATAATATAGGTTGAGATAAGTGGAATAATAAAGGTGACATAAGGAAAAGATAGAGTGAGAGAAGGCAGAATAGGTCGTGGGGATTTAGTTAGTACGCTTATTCATTGACAGTTTGGTTTCAAATTTTATGAGGATAAGCCATTGAGACACAAACCTTGCATTTCTGCATGATTGTCTAGCTTCCGCTTAAAAATCTCCACAGATGGCGCTGTAGTCACGGCCGCCGGTAAAGCGTTCCAGAGACGGCAAACACGAAGCGAAAAGAAATGTGATCGCACTCGAGTCTTTGGTCTCTGGTGTGCTATCCTTAGCGGGTTACCTCGTGGAAGCCTATAATCGCTTAATGGCAGGATGCTTTTATTTGGGTGGGCCTGGTCATTTAGGATCTTGTAGACGGTGATGAGGTCTCCCCTGTGCCTACGGTAACTGAGTGTGAAAAGACCTAATTTCTTTAGTCTTTCCTCATATGATTTGTTGCGGAGGCCGATCACCCATTTTGTCGCTCGTCTCTGGACACTTTCTAGAATGTTAGCATCCCTTTTGAGTAGCGGAGGTGCAATGATATTATGCACCTCAAGGTGTGGCCTCACATATGCCTTGTATAGCCTTAAGAACAGTTCGGGAGTGAGAGCTCCCAGCTGCCTGTGCATAAAGTGTAATGTTGCGTAGGCTTTGGCGACGTCCCTCGAGTAATTTCCACTGGTGTCTAGCTTTTCTGTTAGAATAAGACCTAGATCACGCTCTGATGGAACACAACTCAAGTTCTGGCCACCAAGGGTGTAATTTACACTCTGTGACCTGCCGGAATGAAGCTGCACTACTTTGCACTTCTTTAGATTGAAAGGCATTCCGTTAGCCAAAGCCCAATTTCCCAGAGTTTGCAGGTCAGCCTGCAATCTATCTGAGTCTTCCGATGAGTTTATTGCTCTCCAAATCTTTACGTCGTCAGCGTAAAGAAGCGCAGAGCAGTTTAGTTGGGGGGGCAGGTCATTGATAAAAATCAAAAACATCAACGGCCCTAGGATAGAACCCTGAGGAACCCCTGATGCCGAGGTGTGCCAAGATGATCGGATGCGGTTGACTTTGGTGCAGAATTCTCTCTCGCCTAAGTAATCTGTCAGCCATGCGAGAAGTGCTCCAGAAACTCCCGCCTTGCCTATTTTGTGAAGGAGCAGACCATGGTGAACTGTGTCGAATGCTTTCGCAAAGTCGAGAAAGATCACGTGGGCTGGTACCTTTTTGTCCCAGGATAGTGTCCAATCGTTCCAGGCTAGTAGAAGATTCGTCACGCAGGATCTTCCCCTCCTGAAACCGTGCTGTGCTTCGTGAAGAAGGTTAGTCCCATCGAAGTATTTTCTCATGTGGTCGTCAATGAGACTTTCCAATATCTTCGATACCACTGGAAGTAGAGCAACTGGTCTGTAACTGGTCACATTCTGCCGGTCACCACCCTTGAAGATAGGGGATAGGATTGCACGTTTCCATTCACATGGAAGTTTCCCTACATCAAGGGAGTGTTGAAACAGATCACTTAGGGGTTGACAGAGACTTTCTGAACACTGCTTCAGGACAGATGGTCTGATGCCATCACAACCTGGAGACTTTCCCGAAGCCAACCTTCCCAATTTTGCAAGTACCATAGCCGGGGTAATTTGAAATGTCCCCAGCAGGTTTTCGTGTGTTGGTTCTGCGATGTAATCTGGATGTTCTGTAGGGGTAATATCCTCGTTACTATTTAGTTGCCTGTGAAAGGCTAGGCTGAATGTCTCTGCCATTTCAAGACTAGTAAGAGATTTCCCATCAGAACCCACTAGATTGCATGCTCCCTGGTTGGTCGGTTTTCTTTCGGCCATAAACCTGTATAGGCTTTTGGGGTTCACGAGAAGCTTATTGGCGAGGTCTCCCTGAAATGTCCTTCTATCGCTCCGGACTCGTATGTTACATCGATTCCTGAGTTCAAGGTACACTTCATATTCGGGTTGACTCTTCGATCGTCGCCACGCGAACCAGGCTTTACGCTTTGCCTGCAGAAGGCGTTGTGTCCCTCTTTTCAGCCATGATCGTTGCTTCCTAGCTTTTGGTGAGACTAAAGGAACAGTGTCTGAGATCGCCTGGTGAATGATCTCCTTTACCACTCTCCAGTGTTCTTCTACTGTTAGCTCTGTCCATTTTTTAGGCCAGTTTGCTTCAGACAGAAGTCTTCGCATTTTGGTATAGTTGGCTTTGTTATAACACAGATAGGGCTGTGTATTGTCCCACTGTAAGCGCTCGCGGAGGACTATGTCGAATACTATGACCGCGTGGTCACTACTACCTATGGGAGTCGTGATCTGAACGTTTTCCACTAGTAGCTGGTCACTAGTGAGCACGTAATCCAGTCTAGAAGACTTCCCATCAGGGCCCCATCTAGTATCCATCTTGACATTTTCGGTGAATCCAGCCTTCCTGATGGTATGCAGCAGATTTCGATCAAATCTATCATGGGCTTTTCCCGACACCAAGTTAAGAGATGGGGCATTGAAGTCACCAGCTATGACAAGGTCTTCCTTTTTAGTGCGAACCATATAAACACACGTCCAGATTTTTTATTTAAAATATGTAACCTCAAGTCTATTGCAGTCGCTTTCTAGCCGGTGACTGTCTTTTTCCCGTCTTCTCTTTAAAAGGTCTATTTAAGGAGAAGATACCTCCCCTTTGGAGAGTGGGTCATAAAATGCAATGTCACAGATTCTAATTCAGATGGCAGCTGCTATCAGACCACTCTAGTGTGTGTCTATCCTTGCAAACTTTGTCCCTGTGCGGATTGAACCCCTTTTGTAAACGCTCACAAGCAGCAGTTCCAGTCTCTGACCACTCTTTATGATGATCTCAATCCCACTCTTACTTTGTTCTGTAGCAGCTTGAGCTACTTTCTGGTGATAAATCAATGGTGTCCTAGAAGGAGAGAAAAATTAAAGACGATAGATATGCGGTTCAACCCTAATAAACGATAGACAGAAATTGAATAACATCTTCTTCGGTACCATAAATAACCTAACCGTCGTCTTCCTTCTAAGATTCATGCCTGCTTTTGAAGTATTGGGTAGGCAGTTAGTGTCACAAAACTTTGAACCTGTGGTACGATACACACCGTCCCCTTTCAGTTGCTGTGATAGGCAAGCCCAGTGTGGTTACCCAACAAATTTTTCGCTGTTTCCTTAGCAGCAACAATGAACCTGATGAACATATCAATGCGTGGGGATAGGCGACTGGGTCCGTTAGAGCACGTCAAGGCACCTACCAAGTTATTTTTTATTTTTTTATTTTTGCTTACAGCATGATTTCACACTGTATTTTTGGTACAAGTATGGAATTTTCAGCATATGATATCGGTAGCCCAAAATTTTGCAGGCCGACCATAGATATCAGGTGTGCGTCGGTAGGGGATCGAGCCTCGGACCATGTGTATGATCGGCGAGAGTCCTAACCACTGTGCTACAGACCCATGAACATGTGCGAAACGAGTCTTCGGCAGCAAGAATTTTCTTGAAGGTTGGGTGATCGAGAAATGGCTGGTGAAAGAAAAGTTCTCGAGACGCACCATCCGGAAAAATTCGATTTCGTAGGTGCACTTAGTTTTGTCAACTTGGCAGATAAGAAAATGGCCATTCTGTACACCATTTCTCTCTTCATAAAAGTCTCACTGACATAAGCCATATGTATCCTTTGTGACTTTATTCAACCCAATATCATCGATGTCCATATAGTGATCCATTATCTAAAAGAGCTGTTACTAGAATGCACCTTCAACGTCTATTTATTTCAACCAACGGTATATATGGGGAAATAAACGCAGTAGCAGCGGGTTCTTCTGTAGGACCCCTCTTGGCCGATTTCTGTGTGGCTAGCTTCGAAAACAGCTCTTTAGCAGCAAGTGTTGACAAGCTCCACCTGTACAAGAAGTACGCCGATGATGCTTTCATTATATATGGCGCGAATTTGATAACACCCACGCGAACATCAATTTCACTCTGGAGGTTGAGTCTGGTTCAACATTTCATTTCCTCGATGTCCAACCGCGAAGGAACAAATCACCGAGAAGATCCGCCTAAAAGTAGCCCACACGGAGCGGACAGTTTATCAACTTTCGAAGTTGTGCTTCTAGGCAGAAAGTGAAACCCAATATACTCTCTTTCCTCGTATCTCCGGAAAATCCCCACTGAAGAGCCAACTGACGAGGAATTTCTTCATCTCCAAGGTACCTTGATAGAAAAATTTTTCCCACACAAATTGATAGACTAGAATGTAAGACCAAAGAAAACTCTTGAAAAGGACTAAATCGCTCCCAAAATGATGCTGATACTTGACCTCGAGTTTGAGAGTAATTCTGTAACGGAATTTTTCTGTAGATGGGTTTCGAAGTCTCTCAGCAAAACACACTTCGCCGCCAGCCTATGAGTGACATTTTTCTGCAAGAAAAAACCCACCCAGCAAAGGAAATACAAGCTATTGCATTTAGCCACTTCAGCATTTATGTGCCATTTCGCTTGTTCCTGTTGGGCTAAGTCCTCTTGTAAAACGCGCTCGCGCTCCAGCACGGTTGTCAAATGGAGGACGCAAGAGTGAATGTCATGTGGTAACAGAACACCCAGCGAATCCAGG